TCCATTATTCATCCGAAATGAATATTCTTCGTTGAGACTATAGGCTAAAACTAAATATTTGCATACCGCATCTCTAATTTAGTAGCAGCAATTGTTGAGCAGAATCTTGTATCTATTTAGAATTTAAAAAATTCTTGAAAAGGTTTTTAGCAATAACAGGACCATATTTGCACAAATTCACAAAAGCAGGACCCTGGTTAAAAGAATGTGACTTAACGCTTATTTAATATTCACAAATTATGAACAGTTTTTTCACAATTTTACAAAAACAGGACCTTCCACAAAATTTCTGGACAGACCCCTGATAATGCAGAGTTATTTGTGTCTATTGATAGATGTTAGCTATGCCAATACAATGTTATTTTATGAAATAAATTCATTTAATACTTATGGAAATTAATAAAATATTTAATAACAATAATTTGAAAATAAAGAAACAAAAACTACTGTAATAGGATAGTCAGATAATTAGGCATATTTCTAAAAATTGAAAAAGGTAAAGTTTAATTTAAAAAACATAATAAATTGAGAATGGAACTGCTTTGAATGATATGATAACGATTCTAGAAGATCTATAGTAGTGACAGCAATGTTGTCAACCCCGTGGCAGAATCCTGGCGACATTGTCGCAGAACATTACTGAGCTCTTGAAAAAAGATTTTTCTTTTGGAAAGTAAAAATTTTGTTTTTTTTTTCTGCAGAAATTTGCGGAAGATTTTATCTTTTCATCAGAATTATTTTCAAAAGATGCCTTTCTCGTGCATCCAAGTGGAAAAAAATGCTTTTTCTATTCTCATTTGAGAACAATGAAAAATAAAGTAAAAAATTTGGTTCTCTCTTCTGCAGAAAATTTCGTTCTTACTTTTTTAATGCAGTTATTATTACTATTGATTTTCATATAGTTCTAAAATCCGATATTTTTAATACAACATTATTTATTGCAACAACTGAATCTCGAAATGAAAACTAGCATTCAGTAACCCTTTTTTGAAGTGTCCGATTTACTGCTAAGGATTTCACGATTTTTTAGTTTTTTTTTTAAATGAGATGATGATGATTTACAAAATTCGAAAAAGGAAATAATTAGGGTGATTACTCCCTACAAAATGTGAGAATACAGTCCATAATATTAGCATAAAAAATATTACATATTTAATTAAAACAATTTATTTGTTGATCCAAAAAGTTTCTTTTTTTTTTTTTTGAAGTTGATGCTTTTGTTACTTTCATTTAGTAACATGTATATTTGTAATTTTTAAAAGTATCTTGCAGAAAAATATTAGTATTAGAGTGTTATGTCGCAGAAAACCCTAAAAAGTTCTGCCACAGAACTAAAGAGCTAACTTAGCAAAGTTTTTTTTATTAAGAATTTAGAGTTTCAATAACACAGAAGTCATTCATTCATCAATAAAATTAAACCACAAACAATAAACATTTCTTATAAACAAAGTTTCACTACAGGCTTACGAAGGTGGGATCCAATGCCTTTCCTTTTACAGAGTCGGGCATCCAAAGCTTTGTCTAGCTGTTCAACGGTGGCATTCTCTTTTTCATTTTTCATCCAATATTCCATAGCTGCTAAAACTTGTTTCTTTGGATCTTTAGGATATGTTTCATAAATTTCATCGATAATACCCTCTTCTACTTTCAGCTGACTAGTTAAAACTCTCCAAAATTTCAAATCAATTTGGTCTGCTACATTTTTTATGGCATCCATCAGATCTGTCATTAAAATAAATAAATTATAAAATAATTTAAATCAAGAATAGGAAAAAGTAAGTTATAATAGAGCTTAAAAAAAAGTTTTTTCTGTATCAAGAGCTTAAAAAAACTTAAAGAAATGTACTTTCAATTAATCAATAGCTTTAACGGATATTATAATAGCTACTACAGAGTCACATTTAACATAGAGATTCATATTCACAAATCATTAATCAAACATTCTGCAAGTTTAATAACTTGTTTTATACTTGTGGCAAAGTTAAATACTTGTGGCAAAGTCTTACGGCTAAATGTGGCATCATTTTTTTTTTTTAAATTAAAAATAGTATTAGAATATACCTAACTAGAATATAACATTTGTACTAAATATGATTGCCAAACATAAATTAATATTCACTACTTACATTTTTTTGATCCACTGAAAACAGCATTTTAGTTTTAGAATTATTATTTTTTTTTATGGTATTCAAGTTTATGAGTGAAAATAACCTATGCTGAAATAAATTTATAAGTAGGATGTAAATGAGAAGTAAATTTATATATTTGAATATGTTACAAGATGAGGAGTATATGTCATGAAGTAAATTTATTTCACTATATGTAAAATAATTAAAAATCATCCATTGCAAAAAGAATAAAAGTATGATTAGTAGATTACGATGATTCGGTAGTGCTAAGTACTAGAAGGTACTAAGCAGGGTTGGAGTTTTTGCCGGCAAAAAGGGGTTTTTGCCAGGACGGTGGCAAAAACCTGGTAAAAACCGGCAAAAACTGGTAAAAACCGGCAAAAACCAAATTATCTAAATTGCTGATTAAATATTATTGCAAAATACTTGAAACAAATTTAAATCAATCATAAGGAATAATAATTTTGATACATTACATGAAAAAATTATTTTTAACATATTAATAATTAATATAATGGTAATAATTTTTAAAAGATTGAAAGTTTGTGATCTCTTTTCATTTTAGAATCCTAAAATAAATGTTTTTTTACAAATAAATAAATATTATTATTTGCATAATATTGTTATTTATTATAAAAAAATATTATTTGTACAATAATTAACTACACATATTGATAGATATTTTATGTTTTAAATTATAGTTATATTAATTTAAAATAAGTTCATTTCACTGGAAAAAAAAAGAATAATCACAAATTTTCCAATCAATAATGTTTTAAACTACTAAAATGATATATTATTACATTATCATTTAATTATGGAATAATAATTTTGTTAATTTTTTTGTAATTATTTATATTTATAGTATATATTTCAATTTTAGGAATAATTTTGCATCAAAAATGTGTTTTTGTCCTCTCATCTTGGAAAATATAGGTTTTTGCCAATTTGCTTGGCAAAAACCTGTTTTTGCCAGGACGGTTTTTACCGGTATTTACCATGGTTTTTTCCACCTGTGGCAAAATCTTGCCAACCCTGGTACTGAGACGAAAAATAGCTTACGGTAAATTTTTACACCACAAGAAAAGTTTTACTCAAGAGCTTAAAAAATTCATTAAGTAAATCTTGGACAGTAAATTTCATTTAGTCATTTATATTTCATTCAATTCTGAATATATTGAAAAAATTTTAAAAGTTGTTAAAACTAGTGACAAACTAGAAATGCCAAATAGACAATTGTTGACATGATACAATACAGAATATATTTTGTGTTTTTATCAATTGTGACAGCATTTTGTAAAAGAAATAAAATAAAAATATCATGAAGTAAATCTTGGAAAAAAAAAATTTATTAAGTCATTTATATCCCAGATAATTCATTGATAAAATTTAAAAATAGTTCATGCTGGTGCTGACAAACTAGCATTGCTAAATGGATAACTGTTGAGATGAAACAACTTTTCAAAATACATTTGGTCTTATCATCAATTGTGACAGACAGCATTTAGTATAAGGAATAAAATAAAAATATTTAATAAATCTTAAAGGACAATCAATCTTAAAAATATATAGATAAGTTTTAAAAATTAAGTAAAACACAAAATATTCCAAACGAAATTTTAAAAAAAATAAAGTATCTTAAAAATAAAAAACACCAATGGAAATAAAGACAGTAGTAGTAATAATATTTGAATTAAAAATAAATAACATTGAATTACCATTGTTTGAAGAATTAATTCTCAAAGAACTTTTTTGAGAACAATTTCCTTCCAGTTGTAAACATGAAGAAGAAGGACAATAGTCAACTTTCTGACCACAAAGGCATACAATAGCTTGGCCTTCAAGATAGCATTGTTTATAAAGTTGTATTACTTTTTTAATGACTTCATTTTCTAAAATTTCACCAATATAAAATAAAGGCATAGGACTCTGATAGTTTAGACAATCTCTTTCTTCTAAGACAGTAATTAAATCTTTAATTGCTCTAATTTTTTTTAAAGTTCTTGGTGAATCTATATCTCCTTTAAAAAAGTTTTTCAATTTTTCCAAATCATACTTATCACCTATTAGCTGCATTACATAATTTTTGGTTTTCGTATACCTTTCTTCGTTGGCCATTGCTGTTCAAAAATGTAAACTTTAACTGAAACAGAAAATAAAGATCATAGATAAAAAATGAATTATATATTACAGAATTACATGGTATCTTTATCAGGAGAAATTTATGCTTATGCAAAGCTCACAATAAAAACAATTTTTATATTTAAATCACGTTATATATCCCTTATGCTTCAAATTTATAAGATTTAAATGCCAAAATATAATGCAAAACTTAAGTTAACACAATTTAGAATATTACCTTTCAGTTTTATGTTTTTGAAATTAGTTCTGTGTCATTTAGATGTGAATAAATATTCATGGTATTTGTTTGCACTCAAATGCAATTTTACATTGAAACATTAATTTACATCTGGAAATTAGGTCTCAGGGGTTTTTACATAATTCTTTATCGATTAATTGTAGGTTTCTGAAAACTAGTTATCTGCCCTTTAGGAAGAAAAAAATTTTTTTTTTCAATGTCTGACTTCTTTAGTGATTATGATTAGTTTTTAATATTTTTTGGGGCTGTAACACAGCATTTGTCTTGCTTAACCCTTTACCATAACAGAAAATTTCCTCAATTATTCAAAAATAAACTAGTTGTTTAAATTAAAATACGCTGATGGAGAAAAAATACAATAGAAATTTTCTTACTTGTACAATCATAATTATAAAGATTCAAATATTTTAAATTTTACCTATTAGTTTCTATTAAGTAATGACAAAATTAAATTAATTGAATTAAACTTGATTACAAGAATCGACATTTTGTCAACAAATTTAATTGAGAAAATTTGATAAAAATTCTGAGAAATATCTCGATTTGTGGGGGCATTTTATAAAATAATTTTCTAAGATGTTATTTACTATATGGGATGTATTTTAATCGCCCTTTTAGTACTTATTAAGCATTAATTCATAAAAAGAGTTCTTTTTAAGCATTAAGTGAGAAATTCTTTTTTTTTTACAGTAAAAAGTTAAATAATACAAACCTTTAAAAGTGAACTGCTTACAAAGGGCTGCAAAAGTTTTCATACATTTCATTAAAAGAAAACTAATATTCTTTGATTACTTGATTCTCAGTTTATTTGGAAATTTTATAATGGAAGAGACTTCCGAAAAGTATGGTAAGGAGTTTTCCTGGAATTATTAGAAACTTATTGTTAGAAATTAATCGTTTTTACTTAGCATTCCATAATGATGAAGACGGAAGTTTTACAAACATAAAAGTTGTCGTTTGTTTTTCAATAAAAACGCTTCCAGCTACTTATTTCTTTTCTTTCAGGGTAACTTCCATTCATTAGGAACAGCTTACTTTGCATGCGATACATGCAACTTCGATTATCGTCCAACAAAAAGAGGAACTTGATTGGTGAGTTTTTCTTGGAAAATGTGATTCACCAATCAAATTCTTAGTTTCTCTTGATGGTGATCCGTAGAGCGTGATGACCCTCATTTTAATTTATTACTGTGTGTGAGATTTTTAACTGGGCAGAAATAGATAGCAACTAATTGAAAACAAAAATATTGCGCATGTCGTCCTCGTTGTTGTCATCTTTACTAAACTGTTTCTTGAAATTTTAATTTTAAAAAAATAAATTTTATTCTTTTTCTTTTGTTGATACTATTATTATTATTCTTATTTTGATAATACCTGACATTTTCGCTTTTTTTTCTAAACATGGTATGTTAAACTTCGTCAAGCTGAGTAAAATTTATTTCGAAAATTGTTTAACTTCAAAATAATTAAAATGTTTTTAAAGACTGTTATTAAACTTTCAAAAATGTTGTTTTTTGTGATGGGTAATTAAGTTTGCCTTATAGGCAGCGTAATAATCATTTTGGTGTATTATTTTATCAAAAGAAAATTTCTACAAATTCTGTATTGAAATTTATGATTTAACTTAATTCTTGCAATCGATTTTTCTTTTAAATAAATTGTTTATTTCTAACTTCAGTAGCAAATAAAAGTGCTTTGTATAAAGTGACCACACGTCCCGATTTTGG